TGGCTTTTCTTTTATTTGGACCTTGATTGTTTTTTTGTTTTTTTTTTAAATCCTGAATTACAAATTGACTGTAATTCATGTCTATTGGGAACAGATGAAAACTGTACTTTGACTATCTGTGCCATATTTATTTATTTATTTATTTAATTATTTATTGAAAATTAATGTAAAATGTCTCTGTAAAAAAACAAACAAAAAAAAACTAACAAACTAAATACAACAAACATTGTACAACGCAAATATTCTTGAGTGGTATTTTAGTTTGTAATCAAATAAAGCAAGTCAGTGACGAGTGCTGATTATTTATTTCTGCTTCAGCTGAAAATAAATAAGCAGCAAATGTCTCATATACATTAGTGGAGAGAAAACATGTATTGAGGAGGAGCCTTATCCAAATGGAGAGCCTTTGTTTGCAGCTGTCGTGACATATTCATGACTAGGTCCATAATAGTCAGATTCCTGATATATCCCCTGGGGAGAGCAGAGAGAATGGTGTCACATCCAATTACTGCAGCACATACTAGAGGTAAATCAAGCCCCTGTGCCATGAACTCTGGAAGCTAAGGTGCAAACACGCACACTGCATGAGCAAAGTTATATGAAAATTAATATAATATTGGAAAACACATTCTCCTGGTTACTTAGAGGTCATATATGGATTACACATAGAAATGAAATTGGCTAGAGGCTGTGGTTTGCCTTCTTCTAAAAACATAAATTGACATAAAGAGGATCCAGTAGTTGTGTGGCGCAGACGGTGCTTGCTCAAGATTTTGTTTTTACGGTTATAGATTTGTCTGGCACTGTGCAGATATTGAAATTACAGATGAGGACCAAAGATTTGCCCCTCATTGAATGAGAAAACAACCAGGTCACCGTGCTCTCCCTTAAACCTTCCTCTAACCACCATTAAGACGCTTTTCTGCAGAGCGAAAAAGGAAAGAAAGGATGTCTTTGTCTTCATCCTCCACGGTGGTCTTCAGGAGGCACGTTGGTTTTAGTGGTTCGGGGGGCATCTCTGCAAGTGCACAGTCCCGTTTCACCCTGGAGCGGTGCAAAAGCTCCTGCCCAATAAAACAGGCTGCATCCCCAGGGCCCCTCCCTCAAGCCTCCAGTCAGCGCTTGTTTTTGCACCATTTATTTAGTGTGACACATCTCCAATTAAACTGTGGAGGCTGCTGCATTCCCCCCATAACTACCTCTTATACCTCCCCATAGACTTTCTGTCACACCGAGAGTGTGAGTATGAAAGAGTGAAAAGGAGAGCTGGTTGGAGGGAGAGAGAGATCACATCTTGCCTGCCAGCTATGATCACAATGTCATTTTCTCCTCAGTGGTTAGGTGCCTCCTCTGAAAGGTGCCCTGAATTATAATTATCAAAATATTGAACAAGATAATCATCCCCTTTAATGATGCTGCCACTTCACTATTTGCATTGCAGTACTTGTGGCTTTCTGCTTTTTGTCAGACATACATATATAGAAAAAGACTAAGAAGCCACAGACAAACACGTTTCCAAAAGGCTTGCCCCTGATTCTCCATGTCTTGCATCCATCATTTTAAATTTAAGAATCTTTCATCTGAGCCAAGAGTCTCCTTGCCTCCTCTTCATCCTCCCACAACGGCCTCACACATGGTCGCAGGAGGAGTGACTTTGTCCGACCCCAATACCGTCTGCAGGAGCGCAGCTGAGGGCAGCAGCTGCCAGGGAGGACTGGTGGGGGAGCGCCCAAAACGCAGGCTCTGCCAAGCGCCCGGGCCAGGGGGAGGCCCAGTGGCAGCTGGGAAGGGTGGGGCAGCCAGCTGTGGAGCAGCAGGGTGGTGTGGGGTGATGGTGCAATGCCACTAAATCTTAGCAGGGAAACACAAATGTAAATATGAAATCTAAACATACAGGTATGGTGAATAGGTATGGTATGGTGGGAGTTAAAATCTTTTTTTTTTTTTTTTACCTTGCAGCACTTTTATCGCTCTCATCATCGCTTCCACCATCTGTACCAAGTCAGTGGCCCTCTTAACACCAAACGCAGCTCTCTGGTCACGTGCTTCGGCCACACATCTGTTGTACCATCTGCATAACTCCCCCCAAAGTGACAGGTAGTCCCTCTACCTCTCTGGAGGAAGCGGCAAAGGAAAGAGGGGGCACGGAAGGTAATTTTGGGTGTAAATGTGCTCTGGACCTCTCTGGATGCATCTGGCCGAAGCAGACCACTGCTGAGCAGGGCAGGGTCATTATCAGGGTTTTATGCGCAACCACATAAAACAATTAGATCATACTGTCACATTATGACAGCACCAATAGCGCACATCTTGTTTATGATATGTGCCACAGGATGAATGCTTTTGCTCTTGCAAGAGTTCATATATCTGAAGCCTTTACCGTGTTTTTTTTTTTTTTTTTTAATGGGCCTCTTGTCTTTCCATTTTGAACAAGTTGGGGTGGGCTATACAAAACAGGTTCATTACATTTTATGCACAAAATCAATGCGCCATTTTTGATATCTGTCATTTTTATGTAAGTATGTAAGCTGTTTCTGGCTGCGCCTCCACCTCCGTGTTTACTTTCACACTTTATACACTTGAAAATAGCTGCAAACGGATGCACAATTGTACAACTGCATGTCTTTGACCTGAGTCAGGCCCAGAAGAAGTCCTCGGCCATCAATGACACAGCAGTGGTGCCTGAACATGTCACATGTCCGCAACTCTTTGGCATTCAGTGTTATTTGTCCTCTTAAGTGGTCACAGGATTTCCTGCCTCTCTTTTCCTCTTTTTTGTTTTTTAAATCATTCCCATAAAAAAATTAAAAAATGATACATGCAGAACATTTGAGTCATAAAATTTAAAAACTTTTATGACTTCGGCCGCCACTTTCAGTGGCTTCACTTAGTGTCTTGTACAGCACTTGCCTTTTTCAGCAGACATTGTACAGCGCATACAGCAGTAAAATCAGCTGACCAAATGTCCTAATCTTCTAATAATGAAATGGGCAGTGCTCTGCTTGGGTTACTATGTGAGAGGACTGGATTGATTGGGGTTTCCAGGTGAGGAGCAGCACTCGCCAAACGTAACATCATAATGGGCAGGTTTGTCAAATGGCTCCTTTTCCAGACACAAAAATCCAATGATTGCCAAAAAAATGGTGGAATGTTTTTCTTTTTGTTTATTGCTTGGATGATTTCTAGAAGCAGTAGATTTAAATGGAAGTACAAAAACATGCAAAATGTGAATTTTACATAATAGGTCTCATTTAACAACATTCATTAAGATTTTCTGTAACAGACCGACACTAACGAGAGAATAATTCTGAAGCATTCAAAGTGTTTTTCAAAGAAAGAGAAAAATGTTAAAATGCAGAAGGCGTTTGCATTTATTCCCTTGACTTACAACATAAGTTTATGATGCAATTACGGCTGTATGTCTACAAGTTTTGCTCGTAAAGGCTGAACAATCTTTCCAGGCTTTTTTGCATGGACAGACTGAATGGAGAGCATTTGTCAGTTGCAGTTGGATTTAGATCTTGACCTTACTGAGCGACTCTTACAAATATAATTTGACCTCAACTGTTCCATTGTAGCTCTCAAACTATACTTCTCATCTTCCCACTGGAAGATATTTAGACCTTTTACAGCCACTAACCAGTTTCCTTCCAGTGTTGCCCTGTGTTTTCCTCTATCCACCTGCTCTGACCAGCTTTCCTGACCCTGCTAAAAGCATCCCCACAGCATGACGCCGTCACCACCATGCGTTTAGGGTGATGTGTCGCTTTCGACCGAACAGCTACATTTTGCCCTCATCTGACCAGAGCACCTTGTTCCACGTTTGTGTCCCCTGTGAAGAAGTACCTTTTAAGCCTTCCTTCTCGCTAGTCTTTCATAAGACCAAGTCTTCTGGAGGGTACAATTAATAGTTTTCTTGATGAAAGGGTTCAAGAGTTACAAAAACTGCAGCAAAACAATGTATTCATAACATCTTTCGAACAAGGGGCTAAAAAAATCCACACAAAAATATATTAAAGATTCTTCCAATTTATTAGAATGTACAGTTCACATTGCCAAGACACATTATGTGACCTCCACTTGAATGGGGTGCAGACTGAAAAATATTAAAACAGCCATATAAACAATATCAGAGGACAGTCAGTTCCTCATCTTTACGCTGCTGTACATATGGGATCAATAAAATATGCACCATAATACAGATATCAAGCCAGTGATATAAAACTGCACAACCAGTCTATACTGTGTTGAAGGAATCCACTTCAGAACATTATTTTCACATATTATGTTACATATTTGACAGTAACAATATTCATTATTCACACAAAACACTACTTGAATGACATCAACTCAGACGTTTCTTCAAAGGGGGGGCGACATGATTCCAGCAATGTCAAATAACAGGTTAGTAAAAACAAAAAAAATAATCTTAGAAAAGAAATCATGTTGGGCTTTCCCATTTACCACTCTTCAAACAAGCTGTCGATCTTTTCAGAAAGTGATAATAATAATAATAATAATAATAATAATAATAAAAAAAAACTCCCAACTGAGATCAATTTACAATCTGCTACATACAGTATTACCTCTCTGAGAACAACTGTTAAGGAAGAAGGCCTTATTTTGTCAGGTACTGTGGTAAAAAAAAAAGAAAAAAAAAAAGAGAAAAATACCTCACTTAACACTTCAGTTTTTATGGGTTGTCTTATGCTGCCCATATTGTTTTTAAGGAAATTTTATCTATGGCATTTTTCATAAAATATTGATTTATACAGAGTCCATGTCACATACATTGCAGATCTAATTTATTAGTCATACAATTCAATAACAAAGAAAAAAAAAACTGTATGGGATTTACCGTCATTAAAAAGCTTAAAAAAAAAGAAAAAGAGGGACACATACGCTTCTTTAAAATAAACGACACAGGCTTAGTACTAGTTTTCAACATCTTATACAAAGTTAGCTTGATCTAAAAAGCACAAAATAACAGTTTTTTTTTGTTTTTTTTACATCATCACATACACTGAGACATGTACCATTGGCCTAGTTGGAAATTCACCTGGTGCATCTTTTTGTCTTCAAACCCCCCTAGCAAATCCCTACGTTATTGCTTCTTGTGATTGGAGAGTTGAAGGGCAGGGAGCTGATGCACTCAAACACATTGAAAATTTGACATTTGAGTTTTGGTGTCCAAAAATCTTTGTTGCCACATTCCTCACTCTGCAATGCTAAAGGATAAGGCAGTTCCATTTTTTTTTTTTTTTGTTAAGGCATTGCCGCTTTGAGACACTGGAGCAAGGTCACCGACTTTGACATGTGCATGATGAACAGGGATACATTTCGCTGGAGAGGGTAAAAGCCCAAAAACAGGGGAAAACATATCTTGTATTCATAAGCGTGTTTGTGTCCGGGAGGATCTGAGCTGAAACCATCATTATTGTCTGCTTAGCAGCTGACCAGAGGTCAAAACTCAGAGATCAGAGAGGAGTTGTGTAGGTAAACTGTGACCATTTCTCATTGCTGGTAATTTCCATACTGGCCCTGTAGAGTGAAATACGACAGACGCATGTTACTGAGCTTTTAAACGACCCTCAGCACGGTGCAAAGAAACATCTCAAGTTGCAGTGTTACTCTGTAAAACATGATTGATAATGTATCTGCACTGACTGGTATTGACCAGCAGGTGGCAACATGACTTCACAATTTAAAAGCACTAAACTAACTTAACATATCAAGTTTGGGCACAAAAATTACTTCTGAAAAATAGGAGGCTACTTTTAAATGAGAAAAATCTGCTTTAACAGTTCTATTTAATGCATTCCTAAACAGGGGTCGAAATATGCGTTTGGTATTAATAGAAACTATGAATTTAAACTTTGACATTGCAAGTTGTAATGTTAGGGGTGTAACAGCACACATAATTATTGATTTGAAATGAACATTATCCATTTGCTTGAATATTCATTTTTCTCCAGAACTTAAAATGCTTTAAAAAAAAAAAACATTAAAAATACTTAATTTTTTTTATTTTATTATTATTATCTCAGCATTACCACTACACAAACTACAAAAGGAACTTCCATAACTGCTGCAACCTCTGATAAAATGCACAAAAACAATAAAAAATATTTTAACTTTTACTTCAGAACAATATGGCACACTGAATTTTCAGTTCAGGCCAGATTTTAATACCGTCTGTAAATAGTCATGTTTAGAGAAGTCTACTTTTTAATCTAAATTAGCGGAGACACATGGTAATACAAGGCCTAATTTGGGCCTGAAGCTTAACCTTCATGCAACACGTTGCATAGGGTCTGGTGAGGATTGAAGTATGAAGAAGGGAACTTATGCGACTGACAAAATGTCCCGTGTGCCCTAGGTTTGTAGTTTAAAAAAAGCCCCAACTAACCAATAAAAAATAACTGAACAGCTTAGGACCGTCACATGTACCGCTACACCCCTTTAAACACAGTTTAATCAATTAACTGTTGCAAATTAAAGTCGATTAAAGACACAGCCTTTGGTTGCAGACCATGTATGTTTTTTTTGTTTTTTTCTTGGACCTCATTACTTGCAGTTCGACCCCTGGTAGATAAAAATAAATAAATAAGTGTAAAAAAAAAATAAAAATAAAAAAAAGGAAGGGAGGGAAAACTACAAAGAAAGACTGAAAGGGATAGAGGAGAGGCAGAAGAAACATAACAAATGCAAATTAACGCTAAGTGGTCAAGTGTCTAGATTTAACGTTGAGGTCTTCACAGCAACCATTACCTTTGCTTCTTATAGAGCTAGTCAGGGGTTCAAATCCCCGCTTCTTTATTTCCTCATGTGCCCCTAAATGTTCAAAGATAAAGATATCAAAGTGCGGCTGTGGTCCCCCACATAAGACCACAGGTAATACAGGGCAGCAAATCGATCCCCCTTCAAAACACTGACGCAGGCCGCATCGAGTAGAAGGAAGAATCCTCTTTAAAGCCCTCATTTATCACTGAAATAGGATTCCACATAAGCCACAAAACACAAGCAAGACTGAGAATTGAGAGCAAAAAGACACTAAACACATAACTTCCACTGGGAAGGACACATTTAACCACCAAAAATGACAACAGCATGCAAAACACACTACCCATTAATGTTTTCTCATTTCATTGATAATAATTTGGCATTAACAGTAACAAGAAAAAAAACACTAATCCTGATGCACAAACAAGTCTTTGTGACCATTTAGTCCTTTGGCTATACTCACCTGGTCATAACCGTACGGGCGCTGCTGTTGGCCCTGTGGGGGTCCGGGCTGAGGGGGACGGTAGCCCCCGTACTGCTGTCCCTGTCCCTGTGGGTAGTTGGGATACTGTCCTGGGCCACTCTGGGAGGGACCTGCAATAAATATTCAGTAGAATGAGTTAAAAACAAGACACGCTTAAATTCCCTTAAGTTGACTGAAAAATCTGCAAAAGCAACTTTTGACACCTCTGACAGACGCTGCTTACACTCTCACTTTAAATTTAGTTTTTACAACAGATTTGTTTGATAGCGGCTTTTAAGATGTCAAAGTCTTGAAGTACATTCTAGCCAAACTTGGGGTGTCTTAACACTTTGATAAATTCAACCTTTAAAGGTATTTTGGTTTAATTTAAGGGTCAACATTAGGTGTGACAAATAATTTAACCAAATATCTTAACCTAAATATATTGGTAATCTTCCCTTAAAGCTGTAAGTTGCTTCTCTGCCATTAGTACTTTGAAATTATAACATTTGATTGAGCAGCATATGCATGAGCATTATTGCCGGTGCTAAGTCCTGACTCCTGGATCTGATTGGTTGCGTCAAACTGGGAGAGATGTATTTCTGCAGATGGAAGTAGGACCACAAGAAAAAGGCAGAGGAGCTAAATCTTTTCACACAGATCAAGTATCTCATGTTATACTGTCAGAAAATAATGAAGGTTTCAAGGAGTACATAAAAAAAAACATTTTTATAAAAGTTACACACTGCAGCTTTAATGCCTACACCAGATATGTGACTTTAGGAAGTGGGGAGCTAAAGCTAATAGTGGGTGCAAGAGACAGTATGGAATGGCAACAAAAGAAAAAGATGGGCCAATATTGTCATTAAAATTTCCAGCAGTTGCATTGCTATTAGATATAGTCCTAATCCACCCCTAGTACCAACAATTTCATTTATATCTGCATTTTTAAACTATTTAGTTAGGTTGTCTCCTTAATGGCCGAACCTGCAATGAGCAAGCAAGTCAGGCAGTGGTCCACTAATGCAAGAAGACCCATCAATGAAATTCGGCTGGTCTTCATTAGAGGAGGAAGTTTCATTTAAAAAATAAAAAATAAAATAAAATCATCTCATCAGCCTCTGCACACTGCAACAAGCTCTGTAACTGCTGTGAAGGACTGAGGGTTGAAGTCAAATGAGGCCCACGCAGCATCGTTAGGCGCTCGTAATGCCTTATGCTGTTGTGTATAACCTTGTGGGGGCCTTCGAGAGCAGGCGTGTGTGTGTGCCAGATGAATCTCACCTCACAGCCTCTGCTTCTGTGCTAGCTCATTACTAAAATGAGCTTTGGCTAAGATACAGGCCAAATGGTGGAAGGTTCCAATAAAAGGAGAAAAAAAAAATGTGATGAGGAAACATGCCTCAAGAGATTCAAGAAGTCAACTTTAACAGCAAAGGTTTCTAAAAATGGTAAGGTGGATTTAGTTCTTAGAGTTCTGCGAATATCATGATGTTGGCAAATCTAGTAGGGAATCATGGGTCAATCTATAAGAGTATGGAAAGTTCTGTTTATCCAAAAAAGTTGCAAAGTATCTACCATAATAGCTAATCATGCTGCACAGGAATTTTAATAAAATGAAAAAAAAAAAAAGAAACTTTATAAACTGTCAACTGCTGTAGAGTGAAGCAAGATAAAGTGTCTTGTAATTGCATGAATGCAACTTTAGGGCGTTGTGGTGCTGGAAAATTGAACCTCTGATCTAGTGTCAAATCTTTAACATATTCTGCTATGAATGCCCTGCATTTAGTTTTATTCCCCCCATCTTCCAATAAACTCTGTTCAGTTTCCTTTTTCCAGCTCAACATAAACATTCTTGGACAGTACTGTCCATGCTGCAACAATGTTGTGCTTCTTCTCTTTTTCATCTGATGGATGGACTCTACAATATGTTCAAAGCTCGGCATGTTATTTTCCAACCTAACCTGCTTTCCCACAACACCGTAATATTGTCCATGACCTAACTGGTATGTTTTGTGGGGAAAATTACAAAGTCCCATAACAATATTCAGATTTCACAAACAATTTTGCTAAAATACAACAAAAACAGAGAAATTGCATGGGGTAGTAATATTTTTCAAAGGGGCTCTGACTGTAAGCCACTGCAAAAAATTACATTTTTTTTTTTTGGGGGGAAAGCAAAAAAAAAAAAAAAAAAAAGTGATCAGAAAACCGACAGTGCCTCCTAGAGGACAAATATGTCTCCTAAAGGTAAAAGTATGGAACTTACCATAACCCTGCTGCTGTGGTGGGTAACCTTGTTGACCTGGATACTGCTGCTGCGGAGGATAACCCTGCTGTTGTGGCGGGCCTTGCTGGTATGCTTCTTGTTGCTGGCCATACTGTGCGTTACCTTCAAGGAGTACGAGCATGACTTGTTAACCACATGGACGTAAATAGGATGCACATAAGTCGTTGGAAAGTGCAATCGACTTCTGCGTTACTGCGTAAGTAATCACCCGGTATAAATGGAAGGCCGTTTCTTTTTGTACGAGTCACCACTACAGCATCAAATACAAATGAAACTGGATATTTACATATTCTGTACAAAAATACCTTTTTTTTTTTTTTTTAAGAGAATGCTTTTCAACTCTTTCAATTCCAGTAATGTATTTGGACATAACTGAGCTGTTAAATAACTTGGAAAAGCCTAGATGACGATGTCATGGCTTAAGTTTCGATTGAAGGTGTGAATTTATGTAAAGGCCACAATTCAAATATACTGCTTCCTTTCTGACATCCGATACAAGAAAAAACAAACAAACAAACAAAAAAAAAAAAAGAAACTAGCGGAGACTATAAGGTCTGGTTCATCCTTGGGTACAAATTCCAAATCCCCAAAGGTGCCACATTTACAAATATGTAGGTATAAACAATATTGGGAAAGTCCAGCTCTCACATTGTTTAAGAAGGACTTATGTGCCCTTAAAATGACCTTAGATACAAAATGTTTTTCTAGTCCCAGAAAATAAAAAAATAAAATAAGATAAACAAAAAAAAACAACATAATTTTTCTTTAAATCTGAAGTGTTTGGCCATAATGACCACTGTTACATTTGGAAGAAAACATTTGCAGCTTTGCAAGCCTCAGGTCATCACCACAACTGAAGGTGGCTTCCAAATCCTGACTCAGTTCCCACAGATCTGTCAGGAGGAATAGGCCTAAATTCCAGGAAGCTATTGTGAGAGGTTTCTTGAGGAAAACCCAAACTATTCGATGCATTAAAGTCAATTCTACCAACCACTAAGTAAATATGTGTAAACTTCTTGATTTTTGTAAAAGTAACTAATTAAAAGTAATAATAATAATAAAAAAAACTCTTTATTTTGTGATTTGACAACAGAATAAGTAATACTAAGTGACATTAAGGAATAAATATCTACTCTGATTTTAATTATTTAGAGGTCAGAGAATCTCAGCATGGCATAGTGAGGTCAGATGTTGAAGAGTGGAATTTAGGAAGCCACGTTTTTAGTTCTTCACATGACTACTGTAGAGAGTGAAACGTGTTTATAGGGTTAAATGAAAGGGGTTGGTGAGTAGAGGAGGAAAACAACAGTAAATGTTAACAGGACAAAGAGAAAGAGGTTTATATTTCTTATTTTCTAGCATGGCTGCTAGTGCATCAATAGCAATCCTTCACCCAACAAGCTGGAGAGCACCAACTGTTTCATACTACTCAACAATGGCTCGCGGTTTGTACGCCACTTGTGGTGCTCTTCTGCATGTCCCTGGTTGTTATTAAGAATTTGTTTGGTGAACATTACTAGAAACAAACTGTCCACAGCGTCATGTAGTACGATGCCATGTAATTAAAGGCAAAAAGTGAGCATTTTATACATTTTCTGCATAGATCCTAACTTGCTGACGAAACGCAGCACCTTCTCCAAATCGCGTGAACCTCTAAAACATTGTTGATGTTTTATGATTTCAGATTTAGAGCACCGTATTCAAAACGGGCATTCTCCCGGGTAATGAGGAAGAAACCGTAAATTTCAGCTTCATTACAATTTCTTGGTCTGTGTCAATTCAGTGAACATCTTCTCCAAGTGACTGGAGGGTTCTCCTACCTTCTGAGGCTCCCTGTCCTGCGTGACTGTACTGGTCCCCATAGTAGTCTTCCTGCCCTGGGTACTGCTGGGGGGGTCCTACATACAACATATACACAGGTAGATTCAAGGTGTTGTTGAATGCCTTGTGTAAGGGGGCAAGGTTAAAGAGGACGGGTTCTTTTGCGGCTTATTCTCGCTGGGGAGCTCTTTGTTGGCTGCTTCTTTGCTTTGTTCAAGGCTGAAAACTTTCAAGTTACACCCAATTTCTCATCAAGATATCTGAACTACAGTGGACGGAGCAGAAGAAGCTAAGTGAAACAGGAGCAGGAAATACAGAAGGAAGGGGTTATAAAGAGGAAAGACCAACGCTCACGACTGGCACACCTAAGAGAGACTGAGAGGAATACCTTGCTGCGGGGGTCTGTAGGGTGGCATCGGCCTCTGTCCCATAACATGGTTCCCTTGATTGACCTGGCCCATCATGCCCATTGGAGTCTGTTGCCCTTGGTAGTGTTGTCCACCACCACCAGGAGGCATGTTGTACTGCTGCGTTGGAGGCTGCTGATGCATCATGGGACCTGCAGTACACAGGCAATGCATAAAGCAAAAGCAGCATTGAATAAACTGCTTTGTTCCTCTTCAACTTTCACATTTTGTCATATCTGACAGAACACAGTGGCGTACGATGGTGAATTGCGAGTGTAGTACATGGTTTCCACATCTTGTATCAATAAAACATCTGAAATGTGTGATTTCAGATGTTCTATATCCACTCTGGGCGAGTACTTGGTAGAATCGCCTTTTGGGGTCATTACAGCTGCAAGTCTGGACAGTAAAAACGTTACATGTTCTTTGCAAAATAGGTCAAGCTCAAGTAGATATGGTGGGGAGCATCTGTGAACATCAACTTTAAAGTCTTGCCCAAAAATGTTCAACTTAACTTAGATCTGAATGCTCAATTGCAAATTATACTGGAAAATGCTTTCATTTTAACAACCCCATTGTAGATCTGACAGAGTTAAAAGTTACTGCCATGCTGGACTGTGAAACTTTGCCTCATCTTCTCCGACCTCAAACAAGTACTTCTCATATTTCTTCCCGATAAGTGAAAAAATGTCTACGTGCCTGATGAATAATCCAAAGCCACAACATGATACTCAAAACACATTGAGCTCCAACATGATAAGATGTGAAAAAGTTCAAGAGGTGTGAATACTTTTGCACGGCGCTGTGTGTGTCTTACAGCAAACGCCATTGAAAGTGATGAACAGTTTCAAATCAACGCGGCCAAAAAGGGAAACTTGCGAATGCATCCGTTCACCTTGACTGGGTTGCATGTTCATGTTTGGTCGAGGCCCGTAGCTTCCCATAGGCTGACCCTGGGTCATGTTCATCTGGCTCTGAGCCGGCATGCCCTGCGAAGAGGGCACCGCGTGATTGTAAACCCCCATAGAGCCATGGCTGCTGGGGGGCATGTTCATGGAGCCGCTGGGCATGTTTGGAGGCTGGTTGGGACCCGGACCAGGACCTTGCATGGGCATATGATTAGGCCCTAGAAAACAGAACAGAGCAAAAAAATAAAAATAAAAAAAAAAATAAATAAATCACAGTAACTTGATATACTCTAACATGGTATTTAACACCAGCCTTTTCATCTTTTCGTGCAATGGATAATACAATTTGTTTCTTCATTTAAAATGTAGAATAAGTTAAGTTGTCATTTATTATTGAAGTTTAGTTAAATTATTGCATATCAACCTCTGTATTTCTGGTGTTCTAATGCAAAGAGGAGTGTATCCTGAAGTTACACTTAAAGCTAAAAAAAAAAAAAAAAAAAAAAAAAAAGATAGCCAAGCTTGTGCTTGGTTTTGGTGTCCCATCAGACTAAAATTACTTTACATATTGAGGTTCAAAAAAAGAATTTAGGCAGATGTAAAGACAAGGGGTCGTGATTAAATTGGCAAACATTTTATTTTCCCAACTGCTTTTTTGAGATACTGTAGACCAACGTCTTCTAAAAGCATCTACAGATAACACTTTCACAAATCACAATTTAGTTTTTCTCTCATAAGTCATTAGGGAAAAAAAAAAAAAAAAGACACCAAACTACATGGGAGTAAAATGTGATTGCTGCTATAGCGATAACGCACTTCTTTCCGATTACTCCATGGGTGTTGGTTTGTCAAAAGTGACTTACCTCCACGCGACAGGGTCAGAAGCAACATGTCAACAAAGTGTTGTGTTTCAATAAAAAATAAAAGAATCAGAAATAGAGATCACATCATAGATCCCCACCACAGCACGAATGGGTGACATCATCCTTCAGCCAAACGACCTCCCTCATAGTGCTGTGGTGTTGCCAGGCAACTCAGGGTGAGACAGAAACTGTGGAAGGAGGAACAAAAAAAAAAGAAAGAAAGAAAGACAAGAAATAGGGGCTGCCGAGACAGGGGACTTACCAGGCATCTGTCCATTCATCTGGTTCTGCATATGGGGAGCTGGAGGGCCACCGCTCACCATCCCCTCAGAGGGCATGTTGTGACCGTGAGGGGGCTGGGGAGAGGGTCCGCTCTGGTTCATGCCACCAGGCCCCATGGGCATGTTTTGAGTGGGTGGCTGTAGGTGAATACCACAAACACACGCATCAGTTGTCTGAAAAAATAATGACATCTCTGTCTGCAGGAAAGAAAATCTAGTAAAAAAAATAAATAAAAAATCTAAAATGTTCTCACTAATCAAGTATGATTGAAAACAGTCTATCTCTTCTATAGGGAAGCATTAGACTGTTTTCAATCATACTTGATTAGTGACAGAGATAGATTTAAATGAACAAGCTTGTACTATAAAAATATATACAATGAATACAGATCATATAATTCAGAGAAAAAAGGAGACAGCACATAAAAAACACTCTTTTTAGTAATTTGCTAAAATCAGAATTAATTTAAACATTTTTTTTCCTCATAACCTTATAAAAACATCACAGTGTATTGGTTAAAACCTGGAATTTTAGAAAACTGCAGCAGCTAAAAAAATAAAAGAATGAATGAATACTTAATTTTAATTTAAAAACAAAATAGCAATAAACACATTTAATGTAAAATGTTATTCAAATTACTCTAATTGTCTATAACTGGTAGAGGACCTCAACAGTGAGACACTGACTAAATATAGCAACATTAACATGGAAGCCATAGTTATATAAAACATAAGTTAATTATCCCAGACCAATACTCACAGCAGGGAGGAGAGACTGTACGTTTTGATTGGAGTCTGCTATCGTAGCCAGATACACTAAATTTCTGTGCAGCATCTGTTGATAGCTGGTAGATTGAGATTAATTAATGCTCCACATTTAATTAAATGAACTGTACAGAAGAAACTAAACTTGGGAAACTTACTGAGAACATTCGGCTGTTTTGCCTTTACTCTGGAAGTCCATTATACACTGGATCAGCTGGTTGTTTTCATCAAGTAACTGGAAAAGTAAAATGCGCATAATGTAACTTCTATGTTACTTCTCATTTTAAGAAAAAACGAAATAAGACTATATAATCAGTCCCGTTCGAGTTGTGCTTTCTGGTGTTTATTCTGTTGTAGTTGAAGACAAAGAGATGAGGTTTTTTTGTGAAATGTAAGCGTGCGTTTCACGCTAACAAAGACGTGTCTTGCATGCTAGCTGTGCATTGCTAACAAAACCAAAGGCCTTCATTCATCTAACGAACAATTTTCCACTAGCATGACAAGTTCACTTTGGTTTCCCTGTGTACACACGGCATCCTGCTTCTAGGGAGTTTCGTATTCACCGCGCTTTGATCGTGTAACAGTGTTACCGATCTGCCCACAGTTGGACTTAGATGGGCACTGCTACACAGACAATCTCAACAGCTAGCAGCAGCGTCTCAAACCGTAGCCTCCATAATGATCCGCGGGAAAAAAAAAGAAACTGATGAATTACCTTTTGTATTCCAGCGGGTGTTATATCACCCTTTCGCTGTCTGTGAGGTGCAAAAGCCACCGACATGGTGATAAAAATTACGAATAAAAGCGAGCTACAGCATAAAAAGTCCCCAAGTGGCTAACACAGGACAAATCGGTAAAACTCTGATCCCACAGCGCTCAATACGGTGCAATTTCGTAATGCAGCGGTCCGTTTTGGGGGGGTGACGGGAAATTCAAACACACTTCTTTGTGCCAATCTTTATTTCCACTGTGTTGTAACTAGAAAATCACATTTACAGTAGATAAATTGTTAGATATTAAATACTTGGTTTTCTTTGCGAATATATCGTTTTTGACTTTATCTAATTAACCCCCCCCCCCCCTCCAACGTTTAGTGGAACAGTCTACAAAAGAGTAGAAAAACACAAAACGGGGAAACTGTCAAACTTTAATTTAAGTAATAATAATAATAATAATAATAATAATAATAATAATAATAATAATAATAGTAATAATAATAATAATAATAATAATAATAATAATAATACAAATAAATAATGTTCTTTTTCAAATCACACACACGGACATACCGCGTAGTCGTTATGCGATGTACTAATATAACTGGTAAGAAATAGAACTGTAATTATGTGTGACTGTAGCTTTTCTAAGCGTAGTTTGTGAGTGATTCTAATTTGTTGAGAATCTGTAAGCAGGGGCGTTGTTGGCCCTATAGACATGTTGGCCCCTGGAAACGAGGCTGCTGTGTCCGTCATGTTGTGGGTGGCAAGTTCGCCTTGTAAAGCAATTCAACTTTGCTGAAGTTGTTTTAATTGGAGGGAATTAAAAAGAAAGTTTACATGCAAGACATTTAAAGAGTCAGAAACACGTAGTTGCATTCGATGGTGATTTTTGAGACACAATGAACAGTTATTACATGAAAAACCACTGCGAAACACAGTATGCTCAAAATACACGTATGCAGTTTCTTCGAAAAAATATATTAAGTCGCTTATATGTTAATAATGAATTACTAACTGTTGACAGTCTTGTGTTTACTTGCTACATGCCAGATGTAAAACAACATAAAGAAATGTAGACACGTATTTAGTTGCAATAAAAAAAACTATATGAGATGCTCGAGCGTTAGACAGACAGCTTGATCTAAACTTAGATAATATATATGTTTTTTATACGTTTAGCTAAAAGATGCCACTTATAAAATGGCGGCGTAACTGACGTACAATTGACACTCACGCGGCCTTTGCCATTTTTATCATCCGCAGTTCATAGGTATCGCGCATGCGCAGTTTCATTTCTCAAATTGAGCCGCTCGTTGCTAACTAGCTGAATCATTAGATTGAGCTTTTCTCCTTTTCGTCTCTTCCAGCTTGTCTTGCAGTGCGATGGCGGCAAGATATGACAGAGCAATTACTGTCTTTTCCCCCGACGGTCATCTCTTTCAAGTAGAGTATGCACAAGAAGCTGTGAAGAAAGGTTCCACCGCAGTAAGTGTTTTAAATTGAATCGATGCTAAAGCTAACGTGGTCAGCCTCTATTAGCCAACAAACTAGCTGCTAGCAATCACTTATTACTTGCTCAGTAATGTAATTTGATAACATTGTCTGTTACATTTTGAATTTTATTGTGGCTAAATGTTGTTGTTGAACAGGAGTTATTTTAATCGCACTGGTAATATATTGGAGACGATACTCGTGGAGTTGAAAATCACCACTGTTAGCATTTTGTCGCTGTGTCACTCTCACAGTACTTTCGATTTTGATGTGATTTTAAATAATGAGACACGGAGAGAAAGGATGATTATAAAATAATTAAAATTAAGCCAAATAATGGTCACCTTTGTTTTTACTTGTAGTAAGATAGTATTGAGAAATGTTTTTCAGGGTAGGTATATCTTCTAATTGCTACAAAGAATTACTCTATGCAGGAACAGGAATTTATACCAAATCATGTTTGGCATAAAGAAGTTGGTATAAGTCCTTTATTCTAAAATGATTTTTATTCTTTTTGGTATAAAAATCTAAATGTTGATCAACAAGTTCTTGCTATTAGTCAAAATTTGGACAAAGTGATGCAACAAAATAATTCGGAGATGAGGTTTAAGATGATTGTAAATAAGTCACATTAAGTCTTTGTTCTTCTGTAAAATCCTTCTCATAAGTATGATTTAAAGACTCTATGAATGTGTAAAAACAAGCAGTGTCCACTTATTAGTTTTTTTTAATTTACACTAAGCAAACTGAGTAGCTGTAATAACAGATCTGAAAATGATTACAGCTGATGAAACAATGTAAGACGTTTACTGCTTCAGAAAATGTAGTCCCTCTGACCAAAAGTTGCCTAGTGTTCTTTCATTGTGCCATGCTCCTCCTGATTTTATATTTATTATTTTTAAAATAAGAAACAAAGTAATTTTTTCTATGCAAAAAGCTCTCTGCACTATCTGTTTTAATTTGGCTGTTTTTATAGGTCATTAATTATATTCAAATTTTGTTGGGACTTCCTTACTGAAACACATCCTTAGTCTTTTAAAGTTGGTTGAATACATGTGTTGTGGATTTACTCTGCATCAGTAAGTGTGTCACATGTGAACCCCTAAATATAAAATATGTGCTGTTTCTAAAACATTTAGTAATAATCATATGCTGTTTCTTGTCCTCAGGTTGGAATCAGAGGTAAAGATATTGTCGTTCTTGGCGTGGAGAAGAAATCCGTTGCAAAGTTGCAGGAAGAAAGAACCGTCCGCAAGATCTGTGCACTGGATGAACATGTCTGCATGGCGTTTGCGGGTAACTCAGAAATCAGTTTTTATTTTTCCTTTCTGACATAGATAATGGATGCTTGGCATGATGAACAGATAATTGGATTAAAATTAGGGCAATATACAGATGTTCCTTATAATTTCTTTCACCGTCTCCTTGCTTTAGTGGTTTAATTTCTTGCTTTGTTTTTAAGGTCTGACAGCAGATGCCCGTATTGTGATAAACAGAGCTCGGGTTGAATGCCAGAGTCACAGGCTAACAGTTGAGGATCCTGTCACAGTGGAGTATATCACAAGATACATCGCTACTCTGAAACAGGTAATTTACAGATTTTGGAAAGTAACAATGACAAATGACAACGACTTAGTTATTGTGAGTATTCTCTCATTTCCTTAATAGCGTTATACTCAAAGCAACGGACGCAGGCCGTTTGGAATCTCTGCATTAATTGTTGGCTTTGACTACGATGGAACTCCAAGGCTGTATCAGACGGACCCATCGGGGACCTACCATGCTTGGAAGGTCAGTGTTTTTTTGTTTTTTTTATATATATATTTCTTTATTTTCATCACACTGTTCTTTTTGCTTGCTTGACAAAGAAAGTGCTGGTCTGAAAACAATTCCCGTTGATTTTGCTGTACAACTTTGTGAAAAAAATATTCAGGCAAATGCCATCGGCCGCAGCGCGAAAACAGTGAGGGAGTTTTTGGAGAAGAATTACACAGACGAAGCCATCGCTGGGGACAATGAGGCCATCAAGTTGGCTATCAAAGCTTTGCTTGAGGTAAGGTCATATTTAAACCTTTGCATCAGCTTGTTTTACTAAAGTTGCTCTCTCATCATTTAATTTCTGCACTGAGCGTTTCCACGACAAAAATGTTCAAGTGAAACATGTACCTGAAGTGTAATTTTAAATTGTTAGCACAACTCAGTAAATGTTCTGTTCTCATAAGTCCTACATGTTAAAACAGTTAGAAAAAGTACTTGCTGCAATGAAGTTGACTGTAGAATTTTAGGATTTACAGAAATATACTTGCAACTGAAAACAGTTCTGACCTGATCTAAAAACTAGCTGTTCAGATAGTAAAGGTATTTTTTTTAACAGTTTTACCAAGTGATATCCATCTTAAGTGGAAATTCTCCTCTTATTATCCCCTAATTGATCACAGGTTGTCCAGTCAGGAGGAAAGAATATTGAACTTGCTGTTATTAGACGAAATCAGCCACTCAAGGTACGCCGTTAACCTAATCTGGATAATATGTTGCATATTATTATTTTAGCTTTTGCATGATCTGATTTCTGTGTTTATAGATTTTGGAATCCAAGGAAATTGAGACCCTGGTGGCCGAAATAGAGAAGGAAAAAGAAGAGGAGGCAGAGAAGAAAAAGCAGAAAAAATCCACTTAAAACTTTTGACATAATCTTTGGTTTATTGCACTTGGATTACAATAATATCTTTGGGTTCCATACGTTAGTTTCAAAGAATGTACTCATTTGTTTCATTTGTTTGCTGAGCTGAATCTTAACTTGAGAGCTACAGATACTGCTTAAACCTTTTCAAACATTTTTGGGTGATGCACCAGATGTAAAGAGAACCGGTTCCTATTAAGATGACAAAGTTCGGATGCAACCATTAATGCAAACTCTGTTTGTCCACAGCCAACTGCTACTGCGTATGTTAGATGTTCTTTTCTCAAGTTTGAATTTAGATATTTTGCCAGGCTTTGGAGAATTGAATACATTCTATATGATGTTGAAAACCACAATGAAACCAAATAATAAATAAAAGTGGATTTTTTTTTTGTCTTTCAAAGTTAAGTGCTTTTATTTACTGACTAAATGACTTGTGTTGGTGTGTAACTCTGAGTAACATTATGATTATTTAAAAGAAAACTTAAAGAGAATATCCTCACCCATTATATTGAATGCTCTACTGCAAGGCAAGTAGTGCTAACACCTAACAGCAGTATGTTGTGATAAAGTATTTTCCACCTATCAGCATTCTGTCACACAGCTGAAAATAGTGTGGGCTTGATTGCTTCATAAAGAGCTCACCTTTCCCTCAGTCGTTTAAAACAAATTAGGGTTGAGCGAATGAAGGGTATAATGGTCCTCCTCTACTCCCCCCCCCCTTTTTTTTTTTCTTTTTTTAAGCCTCCTGCCTTTTTTTTTATTTCACCCTAAATTCGCTTATCAAGCAACCACTGCTCTGAATTCTCAACGACACAATTATGGCCGGCGGTGTGGTTGGGCTGCTTAATGGGATCCTGGCCTCAGACCCCAGTGGGAACTTTCAGTGACTTTAATCTGGAGCCCTTTGAAAAGTTGTGCCGTGCTGTGCTGAAGAGCCCCGGGGGTTCCCTCTGACTCCTACCAAAGACATAATGGTGAATGCTATAGTCCTTCATTTAGAGTCATCTTC